CGTGGTCGGACCTTGCGGGATATGTTAATCCATTATAATGTATAATTGATGACGTAGGGGTCGCCGGTGGCGGGGACACCGGGCTCGTACAAATCAAGATAATGGCGGATATTTCACGGTAATGTAACGGGTGGGTGAGTCGAGGGGGGTCCCGCGGGCCTCCGGGAGTACGGGGGCCATCATCTGTATCAATAGGAACGATGGGACTGATTCCCGCGTCTCCCCGTAGTCTCGTTCCCTCTCTTTCGCTCCTTCCTACCGCCTTGAGTCGCGGACTCGCCTCGTCCTTGTCGCTTCTTCCCTCGACCCATAGCGCCTTCTCTCTCGCCCCAGCGCCACGAGCTCGTTCCCTCCTTATCTCGCCCCCTCAGGGTGCATATCGACGTCCTCCTCTCCCGGAGGATTCGCCCTCTCGCGCACGCGAGGAACCCCGAGAAAGGGAGAATTTTTCGCGCGGCGCCAATTTCCCCGAATGACACTTTTCTCTTCTCCCTTATCACCGCTTTGACGGCGCCAAAGTTCGACGACGCGATCCGAGTTCGGCGCGAAGACATAAAAGAAAAAAAAAAAAAAATACCGCCATAAAGGGAAAAAAAAATGTAAATATCGAACGGTGCCCCGTTTTCACAGACCATGACCTATCTCGAGACGAGCGCCCGTGAAGATGTCGTCTTGACGAGGCTCACAAACTCGGGAGAATTTTTCACCTCCTCGAAACGGCGATATCACCCGTTATCGCCGCCTCGCAGCATCCGCGGTCCAGGTTAGGAGGGTCCCCCCCTTTTTTTACCAAGGTGATAAAATAATCCCCCGGCGTCACTCCCGAAGATTAAGGCGTATATACGATCACCGCCATATCGGGCTTCAGGTGTTGCGGACTTTCCGGATCGTCTCGTAAAGAATCATTTTTCCCTGACGCGAAGATCGCGTCTGAAGGACCTGCGTTCACGTGAGCTTTTGCGAAATTTCCAAGCAGAATTGATGCGTAAATTGCACGTACGACCTAAAAAAAAAAAAGTGCCAGTGACGAGGAAAACTTTGGAATCGCTCCTCGCCTCGAAGGATCGGTTATTAAAAGAGAGAGAGAGAGGGGCGAGTCATTTCTCCGCACGTGTAAATAGGTATAAGAGGTAAGAAGAAAGTGTGGGTATATATGTGCGGGAATACATGAATGTAGGCATACATGGGAATACGAGGAAAAATCCAGGATGAAGGCAGGCCCCTTTCGAGCGACTCCGCGAATCCGGCGCCGCGGCTTTGAATCCCGCTCTGTTTGCACGTAGGACCCATTCACAGTCGGCGAATCAATATTGATAGGAACTTTATATGTGGAACGCAGGGACGCTATTGAGAGACGGAATGGATATTAGTGGGACGCGGGACGAGCGAACCGGCGACGAAGAGCTGCAAGGTGGAGGGCGCGAGTTCCCGAAAAATCCCCCTTTAATTTCCCACCTCCCCCTTCTTTGATTAAGGTGATGTGCAATCACCTTAAGGTGGCGTCGAAGAGGTTTTGTATATATAACTTTTCTCCCAACTCAATTTACAAAATATTTTGAGACTTCACAACGTGATTAGGGGGACCATAAGGAAAGTCCCGAAACTCATGAAATTTCAATTCTTTTGAAATTTCTTTATAGGTATTTTAAAAGTGGTTTATAAAAAATTAAATGTTTCATGAACGATTCAGCTTTAGGATGCCTCTTTTACTTCCCCTTAATCCCCGCATTATCAATCCAGCCGGTTAAGGTAAAGACGACGCGTACTTATTATTAATCCCCGAATGATTAATTGCCGATCTAGCTGGTTAAATATTAAAAAGAAAGCGTACACCCTCCCGGTCTTTGAGGGTGCGGCGGCCTCCTATTCGCGGCCAATCAATATTCATATCGTGTTTGTATGTCGAACGCGTCGCGAGGCGCTATTTAGATGGAATGCATATTAGTAGGACGTGGGGCCGAACGGGTGTCCACGATTTATGTGCATCTGCAACTGCCGGGATGGAGAGCTCGGTTTAACTGCACGTGCGTGCACAGTCACGGAGAGGCGGAGGAGGATGCGTTTCCGATGCGGCCCGGCGCGTGCCAATTGATACCCAACTTCGGTGACACGTGACGAGCGCAAACCCGGAGTACCGAGATAAACAGAGAGAGAGAGAGAGAGCTGGTAAACGCAATTACGCATTAACTCGGTAAACTCGAAGAGCCACGTCTAATTTGCGCCTCGAAGGGGGTAAAAAAATCAGGGAATCTGTAGTAAAAAAAAAAGAAAAAAAAAAATCCCCGACAGGATTAATCCCCGATAGTCGGTTCCGCGCGGCGGGGTCGAGTGACTCGTTATCACCGACGAGTCGCGGGTATAGCGATCTCGTGATAAGCCGGCATTAGAACCCGCAATCAGCCAATAATTATACGTCTAGCCCGAGGTGAACTTAGCACAGCCGGTGTTCCCGTTACGGAAATGACCGGCTCGATTTATATATTAATAATCAGGGGGGTAGGTAACGAGGCGCGATCGAGGTAGATCGATATCACTCGATCGAGATCGACGGCGTAGCCTCGAGTCGTGCGAATAATGAGAGAGGGAGAAAATAAATGAGAAATGAAGAAAAAAAAATTAATGAATTTTCATATGGGATTTTTTATACGCTCCCGCGTCTCGAAATCGGTGCTAGACCCTCGAATGTAAAAATTTCGGGAGGTCCTCCGAGGGACCTTCGAGGATCCCCCAGGGGCTCACCTGCCGTGGAGTCGGTTCAGGGGTGCAGGGGGTGGGACATCCCTAGGGATGAATATTTCATCCCTGCACGACCGGTAGGTATCTTTCCGCCCCCTCGTGGTTTTATTTAAGGGGCGACCCGGGGCTCGACACGTGCTCCCGCGAAAACCTGCGACAAAAGGCACGGTCCCCTCTTCGCAGAGGGGGTGTCTACCTGCACCAGGACTCAGGTGTCCCGGAAAATCCCTCCCCGCGGTATGGATCGCCGCTCGTAATCCGGGATTCGATTCGGCCAGGACTCGGAGAGCTGCGAGCGTCGTTACAAAAAGGGGTTAAAAAGTGTCGGGGAACCGGGAAACGTCAAAAACCCCGTAAAACCAGCCCGACGAGAGACCATAATTCCCGTCGGTCCGACACGCGGAATCAACGCCGACATCCGTTCCCTCGGGACTTCCTGCATCCCCCGCCGTATCCCGTCGACCCCGGCGATCCGTCTGAATCAACGCGGGGAAAATATCCTACGTTGTCCCCGAAAAAAAAAAAAAAAAAAAACTCCCCCCATGCCCCGACTTATCCAAGAACCCCTGAAAAATTCGGCTGAATTTCCCCCTTCCTCCTGGATTCAAATTTTCCCCGTTTCGTGTCGGCGTCCCCCGACTTTTCGGAAAACTCGAGAAATTTTCGAAACTCCGGAAAAATAAATTAAAATACAGAGTCGAGGAAAAGAAAAGAAGAAAATTGCTGCAAAATCTCGATTCCTAAATTCTCCAGGACGAGGCGTCCCTCGGGCTAAGAAAGTCGGAAGGGAGGAGAGCCGAGGGCCTCGCCTCGCTAAGTGATTCAATTCCAAGTTAAAAGCTCGGTTCGAATAAGGGCACCCACCCCTAGAAGGGGCGGCCTCGTGCCCTATCTAGGCCGAGGGTTAAACCAGCGACCGTGACTTCGCATGCCGAGGGTGACACTTCCGATCCGATCCCCGCAGCATCCCGGAGCGCATCCGCCCTTAAGCCCGAGATACATCCGGGTGGAGCATCCCTCCCCTAAACCACGTTCCAGGACATTTTGCGGCGACCTCAGCTCGAAGACCCGGGAAAAAACCCCCCAAAGAGACAAAGACTCGGAAAGCATCCACCCTCAGCATCCCAGGAAGGGCCCATATAACTACCCCCTTTCCCGGCCCACCTGGTTGGAAATCGGAAAACTTCGGGAATATCACGGCGCCTGGAAACCCCGGAAAACCCGAGCCACCGAATCGACGAGAAAAAGGGTGGACGCGAGTCCAAGGATATTCCAGAGGGTTCCCTTTCCTCCCCCGATAGTTCCTAGGGGCAAGAAGAAGACTGGGTATCTCACATCTCCCGTAGGAAAAAAAAATAAAAAATAAAAAGAATAGGTATCCCAAGACTGCCGCAGCATCGCCGGAGGATTACCCGGCGATTCGGGCGTCGGGATCGGCGCCGAGGGTGAAGAAGTTTAATTTATTATTCTCTCGGCGGACCCTCGGGATAGCCGGCACTCGGCTGGGGCAAGAGGGGGAGTCCCGGGGACCCGGGACTCTCGATAAGGGGCGGCGATCTCGCCGATAGGCCACCTCGGGGTCACTTGGTCGGCGGGGGGTCGCGTTTTTCCCGAGGAGGCCGACATCGGGAACGGATACCCATCGACTCGCGCAATAACCGGCCGATACGTTGCCGCGCGTTAAATCAATGTGCCAATTGCGGGCTTTGCGAGGAAATACCGCCCCCGGTCTGGCTGGAAGGGGGGGATTTATATCGCCGGCTCTCGGGGGCCGGACTATCGCTTTTCCGCGGTCGAATGTCGGGCTCTCGGTTCAATTAGGACATAAACCACTTGCTGCGAGTGACGGCGCGAGGAACGGCGGTGATGTCGTAAAGGGACATTTTTCGCCCTTTAACCCTTCCCAAGGCATGTTTCATTTTAATCGCGTTAACCCTCCCTCCTGGATGTTCCACCCCTCCAATCAAGACGAGTCAATTTTAACGGGCATATTTTAACCCTCTAATCAAGTCGACAGCGACATCAACGATAACAAATAGGCGCCTAAAATTGGCGGTCGATCGAATTTGCGGGTAAAGATCGAAATAGGAAATGTCTTCTGGGTTGGAGGAACGTAGGAAGACCCCGTGGGTGTCCGGTAGGGCCCTCTATTTTTAAGTCCTTTACGTAACCGCTCGACGTCGGCATACGAGGGGCTCCTCGAGGGCTCCGGCCCCCACGTGGCCTAGGCAAGGCATCGGACGGACGGGGTTATACCGACATACCTTTTCTCGCAGCATGTCCCGGACCCTGGTGGCCTGGCTGCGGCTCCGATGGAGCTCGAGCTGCAGCTCCAGACAGCGCTCCTGCCAGTTGAGTTCCTCGGGGGCGGGTGGCGGGTACCCGTCGAAGCCCTTACCGGCATAGGGTGCCTTGTCCTTCTTGAGATCGGCCGGGGCGAAGGCGTTGGCCCTGACCGGAAGGGGGGCGGCATCGGTCTTGCCGGTGAAGGATAGGGCGCGCTCGACCTGGGGGGCCCGAACGGAGGGCCCGGCGTCGTAGGGCGAGCGGCCGCGGGGGGTGCCGACCTCGAGGGGGACCTTGGGGTCGAACGTCAGTCCCGGGTCGGTCTGGGCCCCGAAGGTGCGTCGCTCGGCGTACTCGACGCGTCCGCTGGGCTCGGAGGTGAAGTCGTAAGGGCTGGCCCTGGCCTTGGAGCCCTCCCTCAGCTCCTGGTAGCCGGCGCTCCGGGCGCTCTCGGCGAAGCTCTTGTCCCTGTGGAAGTGCAGGCTGGGCACGTTGACGTAGGGCGAGTCCCTGAAGTGCACGGGGCTGTTGCGGGGTCGGGGAGGAGGGGTGGGGGCCTGGCGGGCCCGGCGCGGCAGGAGGCGAGGGCTATCGGGCCCGCTCGGCCGAGCTCGGCCCTCTTCGCCGGAGGACGCCGCAACTCGGCCCCCGGCGCCCTCCTCGAGAGCGCTCGACTCCACTCGGGCCCCGAGCCTCGGGCTGCACGGCGCCGAGGACGTCGAGCCGAGCTCCGACGTCAGTCGGGCCAGCGGGTCCAGGATCTGCGAGAGCCGGCGCCCCGGCGAGGCGCGCATCGTCGTCTCCTCCATTGGTCGGTGGTGCTGGGTCCGGCCGGCTCAGAGCATCGGGGGCCCCCGACGCCGACTTCCTCCGCGACTTCGGCCCCTGGAGTCCTCACGTCCGGCCGACGGTCGGCCGATCGGTCATTGCGAGGCCACGGCCCCGTCGAGCCCACCGGCCGGCCTCTGCATCGCTCCTCGGGCCGACTTCCTGGGATCTGAAAGTGGAAATGCGAAAAAATATAAACTTAGGAATTTACCTCCGAGTCATTTGAAACCTCGTGTACCCGCTGATTAGAAATTAAATTACATTTAATTACAAGTAGAGATTACCCCCGAGGTGGGAGCGCTTATTAATGTAGCTTTCCCACATTTTCACGTGATTTCGGTCGGTATAGATCTGGGAGCCCCCTCCTCGAGAGTGACGGACCGCGTCGCGACGTCGGCTCGACTAGTGATAAGCGTCGCCCCGGCAGGGGTGTTCCTCTCGAGGCGCTTCCTCTCTCTCTTTCTCTCTCCTTAGGGAGCCGCTCGGGGAGGCAGGACGCGCCCGAGACGCGGCCCCTACTCCCGGGAGGTTTATTTTAGGGTCGCCGACGAAAAGGAGCAAAACCGAGGACCGGATGGCGGCCCGAGAGCGAGCCCCGTCCCGCCGTGGGGGTGGAAGTCTAGCGAGTCCCGCGTCCCACCGAGCGCGTCGCGCGTCGCACCGAGCGCGGCGGGTCAACTCATAGTTAAAAGGGGGAAAAAAAAATCGGAATAAAAATTGATCGAAACCACGAAAAAAAAAAACAATATCACACTTTTCCTATCTTCGTCCAAAATGTGACGCGCCGCGTTGATTTAAACTCCGCCTCAAAATGTTCAAGAGGAAAGGGGACCACGTGGGCATCGCCGGGGATGATCTCCGAGTACGGGGGTGACGCTCCTATCCCGGAGGGGTGCGAGCCCCCCTTCCCCCCTCAAGTCGCTCTTCCAATATCGAGCCAGAAGAGGGGGGAGAGATGACTCCCCGAAGTGTCCTCTCGAGGGACTTCCGGAGGACCTGGAAGGCCGTCCCGCGGAAGATCTTCCCCGGGATTCTCGACTTATTAAACCCCCCGTTACCCTCCCCCGGAACCGGGTAGGGACCTCAAGAAAATTCGAAATTCCTCCCCAAAGTATTCGGCAAAAACTCGAGGCAAGGGAAGAAGAGAGAGAAGGAGAAAACAAGCGAGGGGGCGAGGGCCATTGTTTTTCGGCGAAGACAGCAATTACGCAAATTGGTGGTGCGCCGGAAACGAATCCTCCCCGGGTACGTACAGAAATAACATCGGCGGCGGAGTTTAAACAGGGCCGGCCGGCTTTTACGAGTGTCGCCCCGCTTTCTCGTTACTTCATCTACCGAGTAACGTCCGCCCCCTGGCCCCCCCGGGGGGGGGGGCGGGGCGGGGGAGAAATTCATAAAGGAGATCCGCGACGATCCCGCGGGCGGTGCGAGCACCCTCTACGGAGGGGGGGGCCGGGAAAACGATTCGCGTTATCAGATTTCCCGCGGACGCGGTCGGGCTTCGCGAATTTCCCGACTCCCAGGATATAAATCAAGGGCCCCCCCCCCACTTAGGACCGAGCGACTACCTCCATTTATACATAGGATTTCTTAATTCACCGTAAAATCCGAAATTAACTCTTCGGTCGAAATAATGGAAATAATAGAATTTCTTAACTCTCTATGAAAATAAATAGATAGATATATAGTTTTTTTTTTTTTTTTTTTAATTATTAACAATGGACCCCTCAGAGGGCATGAGCATGGTAAAAAAATAGAAAGGGAGGAAAAGGTGGGAAAGAAAAAAAATACAGGAGCAGCGATACGGAGCAGACCTTAGGTGCCCCCAGGAGAGGGTCAAGTGTGGCCCTTCGGACTCCTCGGGAACGAATCAAGGGCCACTTAGGGTGGAGCGATCCCGGGGCCGCGTTTTCCGTCCACTCTGCCTCGCAGGTGCGACCCGACACGCCGGAAGGAAAGGAGGCCGATCGATAAGGCCTGCCCTTTAATTCTTGATTACCGCGGAATTACGTATTCATAGGGTCGCGTGGCGTCCTTCCTTTTTTTATTCTCTCTCCTCCTCCCTCCCGGACGCACGCATAAGGACGACCGGGAAGGACCTCGCGCGTTAAGGAGCGGACCATGAATAAATTTCGAATTAACCCCCGAAGGGGGGGGGGGGGGGGGCGCCCCCCAGGAGCATCCTCCCTCGAGGACCCTCCCCGCAAAACAGCCGGTTAGGTATCGGGCTTACGTGCGCGTGCATACGCTCGACGACGACGTTCGATATCGCCCTTTGCCTCCTTCCCGGCCACCCCCCACGGGATTCGGCCGCCCGGTCGACAAAACCGCGATTTAAGGCGAAACATTCGAATCCTCGATACCCCAGGGAGGTAAGAAAAAAAAGAAAAATAAAAGAAAACAAAAAAAAAACTACCCCGACCCACCCCCTGAAAGCTCTCGAAAAACGAGGGTCGAAACGGCGCTGGAAGCGTCGAAATCGACGTCGACGTTTCGGGAGGGGGTGGCTCGACGCCCTCGCATGCAGATGGGCGATATTTATGTATTTTTGCATGTATTATTTATGTCTACCACCCCGCGCGATTTATTCCGCTCCGCACAGTTCCGGTCGCGTCTGAAGAGACAGGGACGAGGAACAGATAAAATACGGCGCGTTATCGCGAATTTCCGCCCCGCGTTTTCCGCTACTCCACCTCGACATTTCGGGGCGTTTAACCCCCCCACCCCCGAAATCCTCGAGTCCCACATTTATCCCCCGGGATACGTCGCTCGCAGGAGCATAAAAAGCACTCGAGAGAAAGAGGGGGGGAGGGACTCCAGAGAAGAGGATCGAGCTCTCATAAACCGTATCGATAATCGCCCCCTCGAAAAGTCGTGCCCCCCCTTCCTCGTAAGTGGGGTAGATCCGCAAAAAATAGGGTGATCCACCCCCGACAAGAATTTCCGCGGTCGTCTAATCGTCCCGTGTAAAGAAATCGAAACGAAGTGTCGGGCAGGGGGGGGGGGGGGGGTTTACACTTCCGGAAGTGGAACTCTCGTCGCGACGGGGGGGAAAAAATCGAGGGCGACGCACGAACGCACCCAGCGGGGTCAGGGGTCGCGGGGGAGGGGATCGAGTTAAAAAGTTTCGAAAGGTCGTTTCCAAAGTTCTGGAAAGGGGACGGGGGTCGAGGGGATAGGCGAATCCCGGCTTGATTTTTCAGTTTCCCAGGGGAGTCGGCCCCCTCCCCCGGGAATTATTCGCTCGGTGTTAGCACGCCATTAACACCCCCTCGAGGTTCGGAGGAGGGGAGATGCATCGAATGCACCCTTGCAGGTGAATCGAGTATCCGCGATCACCTCGGTATCGCTTTTCCGGGTCGAAGCCTTCTATCGAGGTTTTCGGAACAGGAATTACACCTGTCCAAATGAAAGATATTTTAGAGAAGAAAAAAAATATATAAATATGATATAAAAATGATTAAAAAAAAATTTTCATTTTCTTTTTTTGACGTCGCCACGTAGTGAGACCGATTAACGAGAGCGGTGGGATATTAAACGCGGGGAGAGATAAAGAAAGTAAAAAGGAATTGAAATTTAAAAGAAATGAGTAAGACACCCGGGATCGTTCCCTGACCAAGGGGTGGAAGGAAAGGGGGTGGGTCTCGTCGATGTCGGAATTCGTCGAACAAAGCCGGCAGCCCGAGGGAACCCGATCCAACCCCCTTGGCCCCCTCCCGGGATCGGCCTTAATCCCGATCCTCGAGGCCGGACCCCGAAGGAATGCCGGCCGAGTAACCGAGGAACGCTAATTCGAGGGTGCGCGAGCCCGTAAAATCGGGGGTCTCCCTCGGAGTCCGGAAACCCAGCGGAGAGGTCCCGAGGGAACCGGCATTCCGGCCCAGCGGATCCCGCGGGAGCGATCCTCCCCCGGACGTCCAGCTTCCAGGCTGCGAGAGGACCTTGAATGGCGAGACATTCCCGTCGATGTCGATTTTAAGGACGATTTCGGTGGGGGGGATCCTCCAAGGCTGCCCGAAGGCGCCGTTCCCGAGGGACCCGACATCCCGACTAAAATCCAGGACTCGAGGTTTTTCATAAGTCTCGAAATAACGAGGCTCAGGCACTCGAGATTCCCACCGGTGCGGATTTTCGGGGCAATTTCGAGGGAGACGCTCCCCGCCAGGGCTTCCGGAAGGCGCCGAGACCCATTCCCGAGGGATCGAATATCCCGATGGGACTCGCTAATATCGACGGCCCCCAAGGTTTGACCAGTGTCCCGTTACGTTGGCCGGGATATCGGCCTCCGGTCCGGTCCAGACGGTGCCTCGTCCTTCGGGATCGAACGGGACCCGGGACGCCGGGTCCAGGTGGCGTAAATGGATTATACACCGGCCGGCGAGGGAAATTCCCCCCATTTCCGGGGAACCCGTCCAATCGGGGAAACTCCGACCGTTGATTTCGTTAAATGATCTCCTCCCGCGGGATGGAGGACCTCTCGGCGGGACCTCACCCCCGTTCGTTTGTCGGCGACTTCCGACCCTCGCCCCCCTCCCCGAGTATAATCGACTGGAATAACGTAGGGAACGATCGAACCAGAGAAGCGCCTCCCGCGCTCCTCCCCCGAAAGGTGATAATCCGATTCCACGGTATCCTCTCGACCTCCGCACCCGACGACAAGTAAAAATCCCCGCTAATTCACCTTTTCACCCCGAAAAATCCAACAAACTCCCCGCGTAGATTCGAGCTCGCCTCTCGGAACGGGGGCGACCGCGACGCCGGCGTCGTGCGACTGCCCTCGCGTCCAGGCGTCCGGGCGCGACGCACCGAGCGGGCATTTAACTCGATGGCTGACGTCACGGCGCGGCGAGCGCAATTGCGATTACCGGCGTTTTATACGACGTACGGTGGAGAATGGACGCGACCAAATAGAGGGGAAAGTACGATCGAGCGAAAAGGAAAGGATAAATGAAATCAAACCGAAAATGAGAGGAAATATAAAAATCAAACAAAAATGAAAGGAAATATAAAAATCAAACGAAAATGAAAGGAAATATAAAAATCAAACGAAAATGAAATTAAATATAAAAATCAAACGAAAATCCCCCCGACTTACCCTATCGGCCCTCTCGATAATCCGACAGTCCAGAACGATAATAATCGATAATTAACCTCAAAATGCAGAATCCCGGGGATGAAGGTATATCACGAGGAGGTGCGTCCTCCTTTCGGCTCGCGGGTCACGTTGCCACCGCGGATCTATTTCGGATCGACCCGCTAGACAATACCATGACGTCACTCAAGGGGCGGGGTCATCGGAGAACGTTATCGGTCCCAGGTTAGATCGTCGTCCGTCGGCCGATCGGTGATAACGCGGCGATAATTTGGTTAAACCGGCGGTCCGGTCACCGTCGATCTTTGGACGGTCCTCTTAAATCATTTGCCCCCCCCCGTCATATCTTACGTGGCGTTCCTCCTCGAGATGACTAACACTCGTCGAACAATGCGCACTCGTCGTGGCCGTCTCATTTCAGGGATGAGAACGCACTCGATCGCGATCTAATTATATTCCGCGTGCGTAAGGAGGTTAATCTAGTCAAACTTTCGCGCGTCCCGTGATCCTGGACCGAGAAGAGATGAACAATTACCTGCAATCCCTCTCATTGCCCTCCAATTTAAATGATAACTCGCAAACCGGTGATCCTAACCTCACCCTCCGAGCGGCGCACTTGGCGCGGGACTCCACCGAGCGAGGGGGCTCCTACCACGTGCCACGTGTTCGACTCGGCCGATTCTAACCTCAAAAACGAAGAGGTAGAAATCAGAGGCCGAGTTAACCAGTAGTACCTCCACCAAATCCGAGATTCCGCGATGAACTGCCGTCGAAAAACAGGGTCCGGCCCTCGGCCGTTAAATACTTCCGTTAGGCCCCCGTTTCCCCGCAAACGTCGTAGTCGAAAGTCGAGGTCACTTTCTCCAGGTCTACGTCGGTTCCGCCGGGAGGGAATTTTCCTTTCGAGCGAGCAGGTCGGTTCCCTCGGGAGGTTCGGGGGGGAGGTAATCCACCTTTGTCGGCATTTTGGGTATCGGGGGTTCCTCCGGGGGCGAATAGGTCGAGTCCTTCGGGGCAGGAATCCGCGGGGGGTCAACGACCCGGCCGGGTCGCGAGGCGCGCCTCTCCTCTCTCGAAATCCCGCCTTCGGGAAACGGCGGCGACGGCGGCGGAGCCTTAGCTGACGGCGGACGGTCTGGCCGGTTCCAGTTTCCGAGCGAGTTCCACCGGGACCTCGCTCGGTCTCTCTCGCTCCCGCGGCGGGAGAACGCCTTGGCGACCGAGAGAGCGAGAGGCTAGAGAGCGCGCTCGCTCGATGCTACTCTCGCGGAGGGCTCGGCCGCGGGCGCGTTCCCCGAGCACCTCAGGGGTGCTCAAAGCCCTCGAGCCGATCGGCGCGATCGGGTGACAGCTCGAGCGACAAGTGGCGCTCAGTCGGGGGGTCCCGGGGGCCGATCCTCGCGAGATCGGAGATCGGAGAGATCGAGTTATCGCTGGCTCACTCACCGTCGTCTCCTGTGGGTCGGGCCGGGTGCGGGCGAGGGCTCTCCATGCCCGGTGGGTCAGGCCGGTGTGCGCGCCAGCGGCGGGCGGAGCACGCGACCGACGGGCTCTCCTCTCCGCGGCTTCGTTCCTTCGGCGGCGGGCACGGTCCTCAACTTTCTCGGCTTCGGGCGCGACTGGCGCGGCGGCGCATCGCCCGCGAGCCAACCGACGGCTCCGCGGCTCACGGCGGGCGAGGAACGCGCGGACACTCGCGGACTCGACGCGACTCGCGTCGCGTGGATGCGCCAACGGCGGAAAAACTCCGGAATTCGCGGCCCGAAATCACGGAATACGAGCTGCGAGGCGGCCGCGAGGTCGTCCGGCCGCGGTGGTGGCGCCGACTGGCGGCGCATGCGGGGACTCGCCCCGCCGTCCGGCGCCATCTTGATTCCGAAGGACCACGTGATCTTCGGTTTACCGGGCGACGGGATCGGACGCGCTCAAGGTCGACAACCGATACCGCGAGGAGGGCGGGAGGGGGAGAGGTTAGATGCCTAGATGGTTCTCGCAGGTTCGACCATCTTCGTCGTATCAGGCTTCCAAACGCGAGGGAGAAAGAGACGGCGTGGTCTCACCGCGGGCGGAGGATGGGCATCCCATTGTCCGGTAAAGCTTCTGGCGACGCGACTTTCACACTTTAATGCCTGGTTGTCTCTTTTATCTGCGCGTCCTGAAGATCTTTGACTGTATGCGTATAGTCAAAGTCGACGATTGACTCGAGTGAGACATTGTTTACTCAACATTACTCAACTACCGAGTGGAGAAAGTAAACCGGTAGATGAGTACCGTTATGCGTATCTTAGGTTATAGTGACCTTGCACCGTTCCGTACTTGGTTCAGGAAGTAACGAGATAACCTGGTTTCTCGATAGACTGGGTGGGACGCGATATTAGATTATCTTCAGTGTAGCTTTGAGAGAAATGAGAGGGCTTATTGTGAGGAAGGTACTGGTTTACCAGAGATTTAGTATTTATTTCACGGGCAACTTGCTGTCAGAAATGTTACTCTGGAATTGAACATTTTGCTGCATCCGTTTCTCAAATGTTCATGTATTTTGTCCTTCACGAGCTAAGGTCTCGAATTTTTCATATGCTTGTACTCGTAATAATTTGTCGTTGTATGTTGGATCTAAAATGTCCTTTAATGTCCTCGTAATCGTAGGGATATGTTGTTTGTATTCCATAATTATTTCTCTAAGAGTGTTTGACCGCATTTCGGCAATGTTTAATCTTTCGCATACCCACTGTTTCACTTCGGGCAGCAATGTTCGATCGATAAGTTGCCCGCGATCGTATCTTTCCAAGGAATTAATGCATAGGACCGATATTCGAACGGGTTCAAAGTACTCATAATTGCTACACTTGTTAAACACCTGCAATGCGTTAATTTATGATTATTAAAAAACTTAATGATAACTTTTTAATATGGATAAAAGGAGCAAATGGTCTTACGTCTGTCTCGTCCATTTCATAGTCTGCATCTCCTGACAGGGTCATGCTCCATACAAAAAATGCAACAGGCACCAGTTCTCTGTGTATTAACAAATCCATAAACTTCGTAAAAAATATTTCCATCGTAATCGCTTTGCATTTTAACTTGCATTCCGATCCTATTTTACAGATTGTCAATGATGCATTTTCTCGTACTTCATTGTTATCGTCTATGAGTAAATTAAGGAGCATAGTCCACCAGTTCAACAATAGTTCTACAGAAAATTGAAGCCTTGATTAAAAGTCACAGACCAAATAATAAAAAATGTTATATGATCATAAATCAGTGCTTACTTAGTCTTAAGGGGGTACAACATTCCGAACACCTTACGTAAAGATCGTAAACCACTTGCGACACTGCAATTCTGCAGTCAACATCCGCAGCACCCATCCATGAATTATTTAAAAATAATCTATACATTTCTTGGACGTATTTTGGAAACAGGTCTTCATTCTAAAAAAAAAAGTCCCAATAAACAAGAACCATTATGAGTATAATTAAATAAGCCAACAAAAAATATATACGAACCTTGTGAGTAGTCATCAATCTGCTGCATGCTTTGCCAAGCAACCGTAAAACAGTTCCCTTTTCACATAAATCTATACTTCTAGAATCATTTAAAATTATAGATATAATAGAGTGACAAAGGTTGTCTACCGATAATGTATTTTCTGTAATACCATTTGTACTACTGTTCGTTACTATTTCATACAAAAACAGTAAAATTGATTCCAATAAATCAATATCTTCAACAGCTTTTGGTACAGCTGTAAGTGCTGCAGATATTGTTCTTTCTAAAGTATCATCAATTTGGGCAGATCTCGTCTGAGCCAGTTTTAACCAACAAATTGTTTGTACCATGCTGTTGTTATGACTTAGCATCTCTTTGCAAAATATTAACACGTCATTTACAGAATTATTACAATTGGATTCTTTGTCTACTCTCTTCATAGATGTAAGAAGCGTAGCCACAGCATGTTCATACACTTCTCGACCAGGATTCCACTTTAATATTTCTTTTCGCGTAAGATGCATTTCGAATCTAGAAATAATTGCTTCTTGAACTCTCGTATCAAGCCTGTAAAATAAACAATAATAATATATTTTAATTAAAAACTTGTTCGTTCATTTACCATTCAGTATCATTTTGTAGAAGAATGGAAAGAATGTTGACATAGGCCGTTGCTAGTGGAAAACATGTTGGAGCACTAGACGTAATTTCCAAACTTTCCAAAATCACAGAAGAATTTCTAAGATATTTAGAACATTCCAAGCCGAATGCACTAATTTTTATATTTCGATGGTTTTTCAAAATCTCCAATATCTACAATGAACGAACAACACATGTCTATGTAATGTATCAAAGATTAATAAAATATTTAGATTTCTTAAATAAGATTATCGGACCTGAAGCATGTAACCATGTACTGTATTAAGCGATGAACCTCTCAAGAATTCAATTTTCTTCAACCTGTTGAACAAATCTTTGAGAAATTCACAGACTGTCTCTTCCGTCAGTAGAGGGACTACAGCTCTAGCTGCTAATTCGCGAGTAGTGTACACACTGCTTTTAGAACATTTTGAAACCAGATCAACGAAGCTGTTAATCTGAAAAGACCTATATGTACTTCTCCATTAAAAAAATTAGTCGAGTGGATTTATAACACTAACTTGCCAGTTGAATTCTGCACCTTGGCAGTAGTGACCAGGATACAACCGAGAAAGTAACAAAAGAATTAATTGCACGCTTGGTTTCATCACGGTGTCCTTTCTTCTCACAAAAAGTTGCAATTCATTCAACATAAACGGCAGTAAAATTGTATATCTTTCGAAGAAGATTCGACCCGTCATTTTATTGTGCACAGTTAAATTCAGATGATCTTTTGTTCTTTGCACTCCAAAAATTCGAATGATCAAAGCGCCAAACAAAAGTGTTGCGGCATTTCGCTCCTTGACAAAAAGAGAAACATTTTTTTTTACCTAACCTATTAAGATGTGCCAAAAGGTTCGAATGTATAAATTTTTAAGAAAACATACCATCCAAGTTTGGCCATCATAGCTTTTTATAGCAGCAATTATACCGTCTGCAACATAGGGCTTCACTGCCTCACCGAGAAGGGAGTGTTTAAAAAGTGCTCTAAGTATATTCAAAGCATGAGTTTTAATTTCAGTAACAGCGTCTTTATGTTCGCTGTGTTTCATAGTACTCGGATGATTAAAGTTTGTGGATATATCTTTTAATTCAAAAAATACGGTATCGTCGTGTATCAAATCATCCAGTTTGGCAGACAAGTCATCTTCGCTTGTAAATTTGGTAAATCCTAACAAAATTTTCATCACAGATATAAGAGCTGTAGTTTTTGTATTGAAACGTACACCTGGTTCAGATGTCACTAAGGCCTAGAAAAATTGATTTATGAAATAAGGTATAAATAAACACTGTTTCACATCGTTCTTTTTCATACCTGCACCATAAACGGCACTCCTGCACTTCGTCTAGTTGCACAGAATTTTGAAGTTCCTGGAGATAATCCTGTGATGGCCAATAAAGTTTGATATAGCCACATTTTAGGCAACTTTTGTAGGTTGCTATCCTTTATGTGCCACAGTCGAGTACAAAGTTGATGAAAACCCACGTGTGCTTGCTCGAAAGCACCTCGATGTTTAGTTTCACATAATAGTGTTACCAAATGTTCTCCGATGTCTTTTATCTGAAGATATATTTTAACACGTGAAATTATGGATTACGTTTGCACAATATTAGTAAATTAAGTTACCTGAATATCAGTTAGAAGTCCACCTGATGAGTCGATGCCTACAACTGGTGAACTTGCAGTCAGATAGCCAAAAAGAAGACTGATTTCTTTTACGGTATGCCAAGAACAGAGGAGTACCATTTGTGGAGTTACAGCTACCGAGCTTCCTTCAGGTAGAGGATAATTTAAATTTTTTGGATTCAAGTCCATTGGTAAGTGACCTTCTGGCGATGAATTATTCACTATCTGTGACACTGTGTCACTTAGTACAAAACACATGCTTGTCAGTTCACTGATTACATGTCTCCATGATTCTTCCATTGTAAGATTTCTGTTGAAATCAGAATTCATATTTGCATTGAAATTACATTAAACAGAATGTTATAACTGTAATCACCTCAAATCATATTCCTTTAATAGACTTCTTAAACAAAATAAATATCCATACAAGGAATGTTTTGTAACTGCCATAACAATATTTTCTTCTGCTAACTTCAACGGAGTCTGAAACATATAAATGTAATAAATAACTTCCGAATAAATAAAATGTAAAATAGTTACATTACCTTTAAGTTTGTGAGCAAGAGCTTAACTAACAGCAACACAGCATTTTCTTTATCATTTGAGATGTTATCAGTCGTTTCAGGCAAATTTAGTACATTTGTTATAACGGGAGACAAAGTACTGATTTTAAACATATATGCAGCGGTAAAAGTATCAATCGGTCTGATACTATTTCCTAACTGGAAGGCAACATTAATTATTTCTTTGACTTTTGTCTCATTACTCAATTGCAGAATATGAGGATCTATAGATTTTAAGATTTTGTAGGCCATCTCCTTATTCGATTCATATGTGTCAAGCAGCAGGCATTCAAATAAATTCTGTACTTGATCGTTACACCACGATAATTCATAGATTTCTGATATTTCCAACAGTAAACACAAAATTTGTAAGCTGGATTTTCTACGACAATGTGTTGATCCAGGATATACATTTTTTACACAGACATCTTGAATAGATACAAAGAATTCTTGATAAGCATTTATCAAATTATATAGTTCTGTTTGACCCGTAACTTCAGAATCGTTAGGATTATTTTTATCGGCGCAAGCTGTTTCTTCGGTTTTCTTAATTCTCTCTTGTCTAGCCAACTGCCTCAGTAAGACTGCGAGTCCATCATTTGCGCGTTTTATGACCTGTTAGGAAATCACACATAAAATAAATTAATTGTTACTTGTATGATAAATGTTTGATTTACCTTTTTTATTAATGGCACAAATTCCATTTTTTCCCCAAGATGATATTTCAAAAACATAACGATAAAACGCAGTTCCACAGCTGTAAATAATTGTGTGCTTTTCTTCGACTCTGCCAATAAACCAAGAGCTTCTAATCTAATCTGTGTAAAAATAGATATTATTCAAAATACACTGTATCTACATATTCGAACAATTTTAATCACTTATAGAGTTACCTCAACATTATGATGTTCGATGCTTGTTTGCAAAACACAATAATCCAAAATATTTCTCCACTTAACATTTTGATTAGCCAGCGATCGTTCGTCATCTAATTCCCCGCTTCGTTTGGCCGCCTTCAAATTTTTAAGTAATATCAGCAAGTCTTCATCAGTCATTTTGTATCTCGTAAGGACTGAAATTTCCGAAATTTTGTATGATTTGCCAACAATAATAAAATGTATCACTTACACCACCCATATATATTTCAAATTTATTTCAAGTAATCTTACTGTTCAAGTTGAATAAAAACTTGTACTATTCACATGGTCCAATATTTTATTTCTTACAACTGAACTAATTAAAAATTGTCCATTTTCATTATAACTTAACATTAAATAGACACGTGCAAGAATTGAACGCTCCACATATCAGCTCGTATCAATTTCCAGCGTGAAGTTGTCGCGTGGCGACATCTCGCGGCAAGCTCGGCAATCACTTCAAACGGTCGAAGAGGCACGAGTGCTGCAGTCTGGAGCAGGTAACACGTTTGATTTCTATATTATTTTTTTCTCAGTAAAAAAAAGATCCACCTATCTCAACATTGACAAATAACAATATCTCACAATAATCGAATAATTGCTGCTGGTTTCCAGAATCGGTAAGTTCAACCGCAAGATAAAGCAGTTCCTATCTCGGCTCAGCTACCCCAACAATTCGTAATTAGTTTCAAAAGATGGCGCATGACTGACCATCCCAACGGCCGTTAACCCAGTATTTACAGTATCAAGGAAATGATTAGGAAAACACTCCGAATTAACATAAAACGTCCTGCCAGACGTTAGGTAATATTAAGGTGAGTATGCAAATATTCAAGAGAAGAGCATTGCCGCCATTCTAGCCGTTAAGTCTCGCGCAGATAAACGGAAAAGAGAGCGTCGCTAATTTCTTCTGTACCCAGAATGCAGCCGTTACGTCCCAGGGGAAACGTATTCCCGCGATTTATCAACAGGAGAGAAAACAGGGGAAGTGGAGTCCACAGAGGGTGGTTGGGGCAATGGCCCCGGTAAGCATGCCGCGTTCTTTAAATTCTTTCGGTCTAATTTTAGCCTCGCTCGTGCCGTATTATGCAACTAAACTTCCCCGTCTCCCCTCGATCGGTCTCGCCCTGGAATAAATTATGCTCGAGAAAAGGATAAATTCCCGCGATCGAGCGGAGAGATAGATAGCGTCGCGTCCACGGGGGGGAGGGGTGATACTTGAGTGATAACAACGGGGGACCGAAATCGGGGAATGAGGGCGAGAACGGCAAAGGGGAGAGGTGCGGAAACTCCAAAGAAAATAGTAAAGGTCTCGCGTCTCTTACTCGGACTTTATTTTTCAGCTCCGTGAAACCACTCGAACCGGATAGCTTCCAGCCCGAAGGATAACAGAAGCTGTTGGGGCCACTTCATCTATTCGGGATATCGCTGGAAAAAGTGTCGACGGTATCGACCGAGATGACGGAGGGACGCGGTGGAAGAGCTCCATCGGAAGCAGACCTCATATGGGCAAGATGCGGCTCCGCTCACGACCTGAAAATGAAAGTAGAAGAGAGTAGAATAGAAAGAAATTAGATTGGTCATTTTTAGTATAAGCATCGGTCTGTGGCGCCGCTGGAATGTCTGTGATTTTATCAGTAGTTAAAAGTTAGACGAGCCGTCTGCTCTCTACTACGTTATGTACTTGGCTGCTTTCATTACTATTTCAATGAGCGCCAGACACTCCGTGTCCAAGATCTCAAAGAAGAGAAGAAATCGCAAGACGTTCCTCGGGTATACCTCGAGAGTTGTTCGAGGTACACGGAAAGTCGAGTCAAAAAAACGTTAGAACTCTTGGCCGGTACCGATGGGGTGTTCTTATCTACTTCGGGTGTTAGACAAAAGAAGTTAACGCCTACGGAAAGGAGATCGGGTGGGGTGACCAAGGGAGAAGGATCGAAAGAAAAGTCCGAAGAAAAACGGTCGGAGGCAAACCCCATTTGGGTCAAAGTTAAGGCACCCTGCGGATCACTCCTGATATACCGGGCGACACAAAAATGCTTATCGCCTCTCGAGGTGGCCTCCTTTTTACAGTTACCGACTCTGGGTACCTCGTACCTTCTCCATTTAATACCGCCTCTCGTCCTGGGAAAGATCCCAGGGAACTTCCGTTCATTCTCTCCGACGAAGGTCCCTCGTAATCGGAACAAAGAGCGCGTGTTTTCTGTTTTCTTTTTCTTTTTTTTTTTTCTGGGAACCTCCATTCACGTATGCGCGAGCTAAATCCCTAGAGTCGGCTAATATACCGCTGAGAAGTTTCGGGCTCGTAAAATCTCTCCTTTCCCCAGGTAGGGACCAACTGTTTCGCCATGATGACGATCAATAATATCACACGCGGTCGATATTATTAATTATCTCCATGCAAGGGATTTCATTCGCTTACTTTTTTCTTTCAGACACAGATTACACGGCTATTGTGCAGGGGAGCAGAGGGGTCAGGAGATCAGGAGCAGAGTTATTACCAGGAGAGAGATTTCCGAAGGAATCACCCGACACGCCAGGACTTTCTCTTCCTTCTTTCGGCGAGGGATTGGCCACGTTTAGCGTTACGATTACTCGCCGGAGCGCTCCATTGGACGTGCTAAATTCGGTCATTTCATCAAATTACCGCCTTACGGTTAGTCCATCGACCGCTGGTTCATATAAGAGCCTCGCCACCGATCGCGGCTTCGGTGCAGAGACCTTTCGAGCCGGTAAATCGAGTCACCCTGGACAGAACTCTGCGGCGCCCTCGAAACTGATAGCAGATTACGAGGGATCGGTACACCCACTCGTTAATCGTCCCGCGGAAAATAAACACTGTTTAACCCTCGTTGTACAATGAAACGCGGGGGGCTAGCAAAATAGTACATAGATTTAATTGCGGGCTCGCCCGATTGTCGAGGAAGTCCTATAACTCGGCCGATAATTGGATTCGACAGAGGGCTCAAATTGAATTAGTAGACGATTCTCGGTTATTTACCTCGGCAATCCCCTCGGGAAGCACGGCAGGGTGTTGCCCGAAATTCGGAAAAAGTCCGGGAATTTACCTCAGGGCTGGTGTCCTTGCATCGTTCTCATATTCCGCATGATGTTCCGCCGAGCCTATTATCTTCGCAGATTTTTACCCGGATCGCGCGTACGTCGTTAGAAATTTAAATCACGAATACGCGGAATAGATTCAGGACGAGGAACGTGCGAGCACATAGAGGTCGATTGCCGAAGAGTACTCAGGGAATTATTGCTTCCGCGAGTACAATTCCTCGAGGGAGGAAGGTCTCGAATGAATTCCCGGGTGTTCGTACGTGCAAGTAGTGGTGACAGAATACGCTCGCTAAGGGCTTCCTCGGAATATGTATTTTTCCTATTAATAAGTCATACGTCAGCCGATTCGTCGGATTTTTTTACGGCGTTCGATGCCACGCCGCACTCCGCGCACCGTGCGATGCGTTTAATTTCCGCAGCGTAGTTCCACCCTCCTCGTATTTCCTTTTCACTTTCATATTCGTAAACGTATTCACATTTATTAAAATCCATTCGGTGGAGGGGTGGCTTTGGAGTTCTGCCAGGGGCCCCATATAGAAATTTGCGGACAGTGGGCAGCGGTGGTAATATTACGAACGCCCGATGTTGAATGCTTATTCATGAACTTCGGCCGTTTACGAAAGTACCCCTCGGTGATTTATATCTCGTTTTCCGCAAGCGAAATGCACGCGGTATCAGCCCTACCTCTGGCTACAATTCGCGCGATATCTCTGTACTCGACTTTGGCCGTTCGTTAAATGCGGATTTTGTTCGGACGGTTTGTTAATAAAAGTATGTGTATAATTCTAGGTGTGCGGTTTGGAAAGCAGGGAAGTTTGGAAAGTCAACCTGGAGGCCCTCCAGCCGGATATCCAGTTCATCGGCGCGCCATTAGGCAATTATCCCGAAAGACTTCCCGCTCGGCCCGTTAACGCGGCGCGATTAATTCGAGACTATAATCTGCGAGCAGCAAATCATGATTGACGACGGGTTTCGGAGCGATCGGGACGATTAGGGAGTTGCAAAAGACAGGGTCGTGCGACCTCGGAGCCGTTAGAGTCGGCGATCCCATATGCGCGTGGGTTCACCGGCGATTTGTAGCGCCGGCCGCGACGGTGTTAATGCTGATTTATCGGGCAAGAGTGATTTGCAAGCTATTTAGAACGGTCCCGGTGCCGAGGCGGATCCTCTGCATATTTATGCCATGCAAATGGAGGGGGACCACGAAAGAGTTTCCGCGGCTCAAAGAATTCCGCGAGCGTAGATACCGCGGGGCCGATCTTATCAGCCGGCAATAGGAGGTCCTTCATCCTGGCGAGGACCTCGCGAATTTCACTCAGACGAAGGCGTCACCAGAAGCGATAACAGGCGAGGGCGAATGCGAATTTAATGGGAGGAATAATAAACCGAGGAACCTCTGGGACGCGGCGATCCGTCCCTATGAAGAGATTAATTAGAGCGAAGATCACCGAATCGAGGAACACCTGTTAGTGTCCTGCGCGTATAATTTGTTCGCCGAAAATACGGCCGTGAGCCCAATAAACGTCTGGCGGTAAATTCGTGGCTGTTAAAGCGAGCTTATTAAACGTAAATGCCCCCGGAGCGGCGTTTCGGAGGCCATAATGGCCTCCGTGTTCCGGGCTGAATTTTCCGGTATGCCGGGAAAATTCGTAAAATCGACCATTGCGAATGCCACGAAAGGTCGGCTCATTTACAGGGGACCGAATAACGCCGTTGTAAGGGCTCCGTGGGAAATAATGACGCCGGTTCGATGATTCCTACAGACCTTCTGTATGCACCTGCACGCTCGTTGTGCATTGGATGTGATAATACGGGGACATACGCTCAAAGGATCCCTCGGGGCCCCGCTGGAAATCTCACGAATCTCCTTGTACTCCTTACAGTTTCTGTATTGCATCGTCCTGTATGTCCTATATGTAACGGCGATTGTCGGAAATTTTGGGAGGGCTCAATTCGGACCGAACACCCACAATCGCCGAAGGACCGGTGACCGTAAACAAAGATACGTAACACGAGTTCGCTTGAATTTTGACGACAAAGTTACGCGCGTCGTTACGGTCAGCTTCGGGTCCAATTGCGGTTGTAAAGTTTAACGACGACCATTATAACCTCGGTAACGTAATGACGGTGGCAATAACGACAAACGGTAACAAAGCCCGAATAACGCATTCCCTGTGCCTGCCGGGAGGCCCTACTCGTCCTTTTGGATCGTCCCTTTGTGACTTCGCCGTCTTTGAAAGATGTGACGGTACCCTCGACATCTTCCAAAGAAAGGAAATAGAAAAGAAAGGGAAAGAAACAA